TATCCTCTTCCAAAATCTTTCGTTTACTTTGCCCTGATAAGTTGCAATTAATTGCCAAATAATGGGTTCTAAGCGGTATAACCCTAATCCATTTATAAATAAATTCATTAAATAATACTAAATAGAACCTTATCATTGTGGTAATTTTATTAACCATTCAATACTTCTCACATTGTTGGGTAGATTGACACATTTCACTTAATTCGTTACATATGCTGTATACCGTTTTATTCTAATGGTTAATAAGCGGCGGAAACGTGATAATCAAAATATTTTGAGTAAGATGTGACATTTATAATCAGTCGATTCCTTTTTTCGTAGATTTGATCTCTGTGTGGGGAATAATAATAATCTGTCTGTGCAGAAACAAGAGTGTTTTTATAAATTTTTAGATTAAAGGCTGAAAATATATTAAATTTGAGATAAAAAGCCTCGAAAAAATTTAATTATTTTTTTTTTTGTAAAAAAAATTTTTAATTCTCGACACAAAAATTATCTTTTTTATTCTATACCTTTTTTTTTTTTTTAAAAAAAAAATTATATACTCATTTTTTTTTTTTTTTTTTTGCGACAATGACAAAGAGCAAAAGACAACACAGTACTCAAATCTTAAACTCAAAACTTAAATCCGACAACTGTGTAAAAGCTCATATACCCATCGAAACTCATGTAACCCGGTTATTTGAAAATGAAATGGTACACGCTGTATCGGTAGATTATGAACATTCTCCCTTTGTAAATAAGACGGTGTTGGAAAATGTTCAATGTAGTCATGGGTTCATAGCAACGGTATTGGAGGCTTATAATCGACATCAGCATTTACGTATCACACCCGATGATGTATGGTTAACGATAGCCCAGGGAGTTTCTCAACATGTAAATTTAAACGTGAATAAGTATCGACACTTTTTCGTACATAATAAACAAAAAATTTCCATTAATGCTAATGGAATATTTGATAGCGAACGTTGGTCGAGAAGAATCGTTGGTGATTGGCCGGAATGCGTACGGTTATTAGCAGAAAAGGCCGACAAGAAGGTCGAAAAAATCAATTTAATGAAATTATTAGAGTGTGATTATTCTACGAGTACCATTACGACGACAACGGCAAGTCGTGTCGTTCTGTTAAATTCTCTTGAAACAATTTCGCAAACACAGATTGATTGGACTTGTGGTATACCGAAAGTTACATTGGAGGGAACATTAGGGGATTGGTCACGTATCCAAGAAAAGATCAATATTTTAAGAAGTTTACCTTTAGATTTGGATTTTTGGTTTGACCGCTTAGAACCCATTATTTGGCAATTAATTGCAACTTATCAGGGCAAAGTAAACGAAAGATTTTGGAAGAGGATA